GGAGAGCAGACCCTGGGTCACCAAGAAACTACAAAGGGACAAAGTGGGGGTAGTCCTGGACCCAGGGACAGTGTTAGGAACCTCCCCTTTCTCTGATAGCTCTGCCTGAAGTTTGACCCCTGAAGGCTCGGGGGTCACTCACTTGTACTGTCAGATTGGTCACAAGAGATCCAGGACCTGTGGGATGTCTTAGCAGGGTTGGCTAAGAGGAGCCGAAGGCTTGGTACACTGTGTATGTTAGGCAGGACAAGGACACCCTCCTGTTTCACACAGAGACATTGGGCCTAAGGGTAGACAAGGCACAAAAGGCCAGATGTGTGAGCACACTGCCATGTTGGGTCTGGGAGCTGTCCTGAGCTCCTAGTCCTGGTGGGAAGGCCTGGGCAGAAAGGGGTTCTGATTGTCCTCTCTCTGTCCACACCCCAAGTCTGCAAAACCTGCATCGTGCGCTACTTGGAAACCAACAAATATTGCCCCATGTGTGACGTCCAGGTTCATAAAACCCGACCACTCCTGAGCATCAGGTGGGCTTGTGTTCCCTTACCCTGCCTCCCAGTGATTTCCAGCTTGACCTAGGCTAAGAAATGCCCGACTGAGAACCTGCATGCCTGGGTGCTGGGTTTAAAGGGGTACAATGCTGAGCCCAGGCTGGAGGGATGAAGGTCCCGCGGCTGCCAACGTTCATGTACGTTCCTTCCCAGGTCGGACAAAACCCTCCAGGACATTGTCTACAAGTTGGTGCCTGGGCTTTTTAAAGGTACCCCGAGCCCCTGTGCTGTCCTGCTCACCTCCCCCATTTCCCAGTTGTTGCCTGCTCATGCCCGCCTCCTTCCTCTAGATGAGATGAAACGGCGTCGGGACTTTTATGCGGCATACCCCCTGACGGAGGGTGAGTGTGCCCACTCTCAAGCAGGTTCTGGTTCCTGAGAGCCTAGAGCTGCCCCAGCTGTGAGGGTTGAGGGTGCCAGCTGTGGCCCGTCTATCTCCACCAGACCTCCCTGCTAGAGAAGGTTGTCCAGAGCAGGAAGGGCTCAGCTCTGAGCCACCCACTCCCATTCCCTAGGTCCTCAGTCCCTTGCTCTATCTTTGACCAACCCCTCTGAGCTGTCTCCCTCTACAGTCCCTAATGGCTCCAACGAGGACCGCGGCGAGGTCCTAGAGCAGGAGAAGGGGGCTCTGGGCGATGATGAGATTGTCAGTCTTTCCATTGAGTTCTACGAAGGAGTCAGGCAAGTTCAACCTAAGCCCTTTTTTCACCCTGGCCCGTCCTCCAAGACCCCGTCAGACCTGTGCATTTGACCCAGCAAGTGCACGATCTTTTGCTCCCTTCTGTCTCCTCCAGGGACCGAGAAGAGAAGAAGAGCCTCGTGGAGAACGGGGATGGGGACAAGGAGAAGGTGAGTGTTCAGGCCTTCTCAGGCGTGAGCTGCGAGTGCCATGGGGATAGACCTTCTCACAGGGACCTCTTCCCCACAGACAGGGGTGCGCTTCCTGCGATGCCCAGCAGCCATGACTGTCATGCACCTCGCAAAGTTTCTCCGCAACAAAATGGACGTACCCAGCAAGTACAAGGTGAATGCCTGCACCGTCTCAGACATCGGGGGTCCATCAGTGTGTCTGGTTGGTGGGCATCCATCCATCACATGGTTATATAGCTGGACCTGCAGGAATGGGTAGGCTAGCCCAATTGTTTAAGGATAAGATAGTCTGTAATTGTTGTAGCTGGTGTGCAAAAAGCCCAAGACCAGGGAAGTGTACATCCAAAAAAATGTCGGGCCTTCAAGAGGGTCAGGGAGACCGGAGAAATGGCTCAGTGGTTAAGAGCACTGGCTGCTCTTCCAGAGGACCTGGGTTCAATTCCCAGCACTGACATGGCAGCTCACAACTGTCTGTAACTCTAGTTCCAGGGGATCTGACACCTTCACACCAGTGCACATAAAAGAAATAAGTTAAATAAACTAAAAAAAAAAAAGTGGGGGGGGGGCGCTGGAGAGATGGCTCAGAGGCTTCCAGAGGTCCCTAGTTCGATTCCCAGCAACAACATGGTGGCTCACAACCATCTGTAATGAGATCTGATGCCCTCTTCTGGCCTGGAGTCATACATGCAGACAGAACACTGTGTACATAGTAAATAAATAAATCTTAAAAAAAAAAAAACCAAAAACCGAGGGTCAGGGAGCTCTTGGACACAGTAACACAGGCTCCCTTGTAGGTCTGAGTCAGCTGACCCTCCTTCTTTGACAGGCTGAGATGCTGCTCCTGCGAAGGCTTCACTTAGCCCACCCCTGCAGCAGGGAGACAGTAGGCGCTGTTGCTTTCACCAGTTAGGGCAGATGCAAGGGGGGGGAGCATCACAGGCAAGGACCTCAGTCAAGGGGGTCCCTTTGGCCTTGCTGGCTCTCTAGGAGACCTAGAGCGAAGCTTCCCCCTCCCCACCAGCAGGTTGAGGGACAGTCTGGAAGGGAAGTCACATGCACAGTAAGGAGGGGCCTCCTGCAAGCCACCTTTTGGTTTGCTCACGTCCAACCCCCTGGGACTCCCACCCTGGCTGCCAGGGGTGCAGCTGCCAGGCCTCATGGTGGCATTTTTTCCCCTCCAGGTGGAGATCCTCTATGAAGATGAGCCCCTGAAGGAATATTACACCCTCATGGACATTGCTTATATCTACCCCTGGCGGAGGGTGAGCCTGTGACCAGGTGGTACAGTTGGGGGCAGTACCAGGGAGGAGGTCCTACTGGGCCTGGCACTGGTCAGTGGCCACAGTGACATGAGACACCCTCTTATGTCAGGCAGTTCATCCCTTGTCTCTGGAGCCAGGCCTGGCCCTGGGGGCTCATCATACCTGGTCAGCGCTGGGCCATTTCTTTTTTTGCTTGAGAGAGGTTCTCTCCTTGGCTAGCCTCAAACTTGGTGTGAGGTCCAGCCCTCTTGCTTCATCCCCCAGCCCACACCCCACCCCACACCCCACCCCACACCCCAGCCCGAGTGCTGAGTACCACACCTGTTGCTGATGCCCTCCGCTGGCTCTGACCACCCAGACTTGGGGTCAGCAGTAAAGGTGGCCACTGTGGCGTATGACGGCCTTACACCCCTGCCTCCATCCCTTACACTCCTTCTTCACTGGGTCTGCTCTCATTTGACTCTCCATTCTGCAGGCCCCTCTCCTCTTCAAAGTTCAGACCTTCCCCTCTGCTCCTGGTTGGGTCCTGATTTGGATGCAGGGATGGGTTGTTCTTTCTGCTGACATTTTCTTTTCTTATTGCTGGCCTCTTCCTTTTCACCACAGAATGGACCTCTCCCCCTCAAGTACCGTGTCCAGCCAGCCTGCAAGCGGCTCACCCTGCCCACAGTGCCCACTCCCTCAGAGGGCACCAACACCAGCGGGGCATCAGAGTGTGAGTCTGTCAGCGACAAGGCTCCCAGCCCTGCCACCCTTCCGGCCACCTCCTCCTCCTTGCCCAGCCCTGCGACCCCATCCCATGGCTCTCCCAGCTCCCACGGCCCCCCAGCCACCCACCCTACCTCCCCCACTCCACCTTCGACCGCCTGTGGGACCACAGCTGCTACCAACGGGGGCACTTCGAACTGCCTGCAAACGCCATCCTCCACCAGCAGGGGGCGCAAGATGACTGTTAACGGAGCTCCTTGCCCCCCTTAACTTGAGGAAAGGGACCCTCTCCCGCAGCAGCCACCTCTCCCCTTCCCTTCTACTTTTTCTGGTCCCCTTTTTCCACCTTTGACTTTCCTGGTTCCTCCCATCTTCAGAGTGGGAGGTGGGTTTTATAAATAAATCTATCTATATATATAAATATATATATGTACATAGGAAAAACCAAATATACATACTTATTTTCTATGGACCAACCAGATTAATTTAAATGCCACAGGAAACAAACTGTATGTGTGTGAGTGTTTGTGTCTAGGGGGTCTTCTGTAGTTTGCTCTACTCTTCTGGGGGGGGTACCTGGTGGTCTTAAGAGGCCACTGGAAGTATTAGAGCCCTCCCCTGTATTCGTTCCACTTCCCAGGGCAGAGGGCATTTTGGGTCTCCTAGCTGAAGAGATAATGGGGTCCACCTCTAAGCCCCCCATTGTTGAATGTCCAGAGAATTGCTAAGACAGTGCCTTTAAAAAGTGCGGTTTGTCCTCTGGCTGCGAGGATCAAGTGGCCATGGAGAAGGCATCTCCCTCACCTCCTTGGACAGTGGGACCCTTGTGCAAAGAATAGATGGTTCTATCTTTTTTATCCCCTGCCCCCCTTCTTTTTTTTCTTTTTTCCTGTGTGTGGCCTTTGTGTCCATCATTTTTATCTTTATGGAGGAGAAGATTCAGGCTGTGGGGAGACCCCAGCCCTGCAAAGTCTATGTGTGACTTTCCTTCTGCCCTACCTTGACCCAGGAACCCCTACTAGCAAGACTGGAGGTAACACTTCACTGGGGGCCTAGAGTGAAGGGTTGGGGTGTGGAACCCCGGACAAGCACAGGCTTGAGTTCTGCCAAAGGCCAACAGCTTTCTAGTCCACTTCCCCTCCCCTAGCCGAGGCCAAGCGGGGACAGGACAGAGGCATTAGAAGCACAAGGAAATCAAGTGGAAGTTGACCCCACTCTACCTAGCGGACCACCTACTAGGGGCCGACCTTGCCTACCTGGTTTTCCTCAAGTGTACATAGATGGGGGGGAAGATGGGGAGGTGGAGACCAGGGTATTGGCTCGGGTATGTGAGGTCCTGAGCCCCTGGGGTCTCTTTGCACCATGTCCTGAGTCTGAGGTTCTGTGACTGTACCCACCTGTCCTGGGTCATTTGTATCTCTTGGTTTTGTAATAAATGCTGCATACTCTTGAGCCTGTGGTTCTTTGGGGCAGAGGGAGGAGGTGCTCCCTAGCCCTACCGTGCTGACTGAGTAGATCTGAATGGTCCCCCTTTGGCCAGCTCTGTCTCCACAGATTATGCCCTTGCAAGAGGCTGTGGGAGGCTTCTCAGTGACCACAGGGACGCTCAGAGGGTGGTCTCACTGTTTAATGACAGCTTTGCCAGGGGACCCAGGAGGCCTGCTCTCAACTGTGTAACAGGAGAAACAGGGTTTTCAGGCGACAGTTGCTAACAGCAGCCCACGGTCCTTGGAGCCCTTTCTCCATGCCTCAGCACTGTGGCCGTCACAGAGAGGAAGCTTGCAGCGGGCCAGGAGGCACGGACCCTTCAGAGTGGGGAGCCCACTTCTGCTTTCTGTACCTGCTCGCTCTTGTGGGTACCATCGCAGTAAGGAGGACGCTGGGTGGCCTTGCAGGTACACAGGGCCACTGTGCGAGTCTCTTGGACTTTGAACTTGAGCGGAGAAAGGCCGGTGCGCTGGAAGAAGTGGGAGCCGTCGCAGAAGGGCTGGTGGGAGAAAAAGAAGTCAGAGTGGGGCAGGAGGAGAGCTGACCACAATTATTGTTCCCAGCCCTGCAATGTCGGGGTCACAGGAAGGCTGACATGAGGAAATAATGGCCACCATACGGTAGTATAAGTATTTCTCATTGTTCGTCTTTGGGAAAGCCAAAAAGCCAGAACAATTCAATTCGGAAGGGGAACTGGGCCTCAGGTAGAGGCAACGTTAACACTAACAAGGCTGGAGTTTTGTCGTTTGGCTTTTACATGTTTCAAATTTGGTGTGTGTGCGCATGCGAGCACATGTTCGTGCCCACACACAGAAGTCACGGGGCGAATGTGGGAGTTGGTTTTATCCTTTCACCCTGCGGGCACTGGGGATCCCACAAGTCAGCCAGGCGCTCTGACAAGTGCCTCGAACCGGAACCGCCGAGCACCTTACCAGTTCCCCTCTTTTATTTCCAGATAAGTTCTCCTGCAGTCCAGGCCTACTTTGAACAGGCTCTGCTGCCTGAGGCTGACCCTTAACCCTTATCCTCCTGCCTTCACCTTCCAGGTGCTATGACTTCAGACGGGTGTCACACCCTGTTCATTCCACGTGGGGACAGACTCCAGGGGCTTCCGTGCCCACGAGACAAACATCTAACCGCGGGGCTACATCCCACCCAGAGTTTTGTTTTATTTATTTTTTAGTGGCTGAGTGACTCATGAAAGTGACATTCTTCTCAATGTCCCCCAGGATGAGAGAGCCCAGCAGGCCCAGGGCCTTTCCAGAGTTCAGAAAACAGCAAGGGGTATCTGTGTCTGCCTGCCTGCCTGCCTGCCTGCCTGCCTGCCTGCCTGCCTGCCTGCCTGGAGTAGCATCAGTAATGCGTGCACCGTGTCCCTCCAAAGAGGATAATGAAGACAGGCCCAAAGGGGAGAGGCAGACCCACACCCTCCTAAAGGGCACAGAGTAGGTGTGTGCAACCACCCCACCCACAGCCCTCTGGCTGGCATGCCCTTGAAAGTGCCCCACCCTCTGGAATATCTGTTCAAAGGCCAAAACAAATGTGTGGCAAAGTAAGCCTTGGGATCTGGGCTTCTCACGCCAATCACAGGGCAGAGTTCTCCAGAAAGAGGGAGGCTCCCGCTCCAGCAGCAAAAGAAGTCCTATCTGAGGTAAAAAGAGGGCAGGCAGAGAGACCTGAGGAAGACGGCAGAACGTTCCCAGCAGTGAGGTCCAACGCCTGGTGTGTGAGCAGGGATGCTGCCCACGGGGAGGGAGAGGGAAAAACATTCAAGTCCTTGGTGCCCCGGAGCTGGCCCCAAAGTGCACACACAGGGAGGAGGGGCTGGAAGGAGAGGAGACTGAGCCAGTCACAGCATAGGCATCTTCCTGTCTCTGCTTCGAATGCTTCTCAGACACAAGGGATACACTATGAGCTGGTCTTTTGCTATCAACCCCCGCCTTGTATCGGGGTATATACAGAAAGAAGGGAAATAAAGAGGGGCTGAAAGTTCCCATGCTGACCCCAAGCAAGAGAGAGAGCTGTGGAGACACTGGTGTGTGTGTGTGTCTCGCATCTCCCATCCAAGCACTAATCAGGCCCACCCCTGCTTAGCTTCTGAGGTCAGGCTTGTTCAGGGTGGTATAGAACTGGGTCACAACCAAGTGAAAGGCAACTGGAATAACTCACTTGTTTCTTGCTTCGGCCACATACACACCACCTGTAGGTTTTTCCTGCAACAAGCTCCAACTTGATGGGTGTTTTCTGTGCCACCACGGGCTTGGCTGGTTCTTTGGGGAACCATCGGGCCTATGGCCAGGGAAGATAAGAGGCTCAGGGTCATCCCAAACCTTGGAAGTAGTGTAAGTTTGCATGATCCCAGCTACCTTCTTCTAACCCTGGGGCTTGGGTTATCATGTGGCTGACCTCCCCTCAGCCCAGAAGACTTGGCTCCTTGTCTTCTGCCCTCTGGTCCACCAAACCTTCCCTAGAGCCGGCTGGGAGCAGGGGTGTCCCGGTCGCTGTCTTCGATGTAGCCCTGAGATCCCGGAAATTGACGGGACTTGTGTCCTGAGAGAAGGCGTTCTTGTACTCACCAGCCAAGAGGAGATTTCCCGCTTCTGGCACAGCTTCGACAAGGCCGGCAGACAGATGTGATTTGGAAACAGAAAAATAAAATCAGTGGAGAAGGGTGGACGCCGGAAGCCCATCTGGGGAGGAAAAGATCACGGGCTAAGGGGACGTGGGAGCGACAAAAAGATTGGGAAAAGGGTCACAGTAGAGGCAGGTCTTGGCATCCACTAGGGAAGAGTCCTCTGGAGAAAAGACTGCCCCGAGGGATCGCGCGGCCGAGAGGCGGAGCCTGGCCCTGGCCGGGGAGGCGGGGCTGATCGGCCGGGGTCAACAAAGAGGGGACGCTCACCGAGGCCCCGCGCATGACCACAGCGTGCATGTTCGTCCCCACGCCGCCGCGCATGGGCGTTCTGCGCACCGCCGCGGCCCGTCCGGGTCGCCACCCTCTTCGCTCCTCCTCCCCCATCCCTCTCTCTCCCCTCCCGCTCCTCTTCCCCCATCCCTCTCTCTCCCCTCCCGGAAGACGCCGCCCGGCCCCGCGCAGGAGGGGCAGGCAGTGCAGCCCTGGAGCCCGCAGGTGCCACCCTGCGCCCTGGCCCTGCGGAGTCGGAGGCAGTGCGTTTAGAAACACAGGCAGTGTGATCTATCACCCAGCAGGGCTCGGGTGCCTGCATCTTCACCTGCACCGTGTATGATGTGCCTTCCGGTTTAAACTATTCCTCCAAGTACTTGAAAAAAACTGGTCACTGACCATATACACCCATCTTCCTCCTCCCACGGGCCCTCGGAGTTGGCACCCATCTTCCTCCCTTCAGTGAAGCCAGACAAAGCAAGGTCTCTTTGGTTTTTTTTTTTTTTTAGTAAAACATTCTTTTATTAAAAGAACAAGTGCTGTTTACGAACTGCCCTTCGTACAAATAACATCCGTTATACAAAGATACAAGACCCAGGCTATGCACAATTCCAGGCTTGGAGGTCGCAAGGGAACACTGCCTCTTGGGCTGAGGATATAAAGGTTTCAGAAAAAAATGAAAAATGAGCCCCTGGGTTTGCAATCTGTGGCTTCCCTTCCTTGCTCCCCTAGGAAGGGTCTGCTACATGGAAACAGGCTGGGATGGAAGGAAGAGAGCCTGAGTTCGGTCTGCAGCCCCAAGTGGGGCTGGAGAAAGTGAACACAGGAGAATGGGGGCGGCCCTCAGTCTCTACCTCTTCAGTAGGTCAAGACAAGGTGGTCTGGTGGATATTTGAAACACACCCGCAATCAAGGAGGAAGTGAGTAGAGGGATCAGAAGGGCTCCCCGGCCCCACCTTCCTCCAAGTGGGTGAAGTTCCGTCCATTAGGCACCCCTCCCCAGGAACCAGCTACCTGTTTTTTCCCTTTGGCCCACTGCACTCTTAAAAGATGTTGTTGGAAAGCAGCAGGGGAGCCTGTGTCTTTGAAAACCTGTCAGCATCCCAGTTTGGGAGAGGGAAATGTAAATGTCGCCCTTTGGGCTCCCCTCATTTGTCTAGCCCCTTCCTAGGAGTCTAGAGTGGGCACTCCCTGGGTCTCAACACAGTAAAGGGAACGGGTTACCAGCCTCAAGATCAGGGCACCTAGGGGCAGCGGTAGACCCAAGAGCCTGAGGGAGAAACAACAAGCTGGAATGAGGGAGAGGGGATGGGGAGATAACAATTTATTCTTTTTAAAGGCAACCCTTAAAGTGTCATTGTCTATGGAGAGGATTCGTCAGCTCGGAGCTAAGACAGTCAGTGCTACATAGATACCTTCCCACCATGGGCACCATCCTAGACTCGCAACCGCACCATCACACACACCACACACACACACAGGGACAGCCAGCCAACTAGATGCAGCTAGAAGGCTGGACAATGGAACAGGAATGACCAGGCTAGGTACTGAGGCTCATCGCTTCTGTCCCTCCTAGGCTTAGAGCAATCACCTGTAAAGTCAGCTCCAATGACCTCCTAACTACAGTGGAATCCCGTTCAGCACTGAGATCCACCAGCCATGACTGCCCTGGTGGGCACAGACTCGGCATGCATTGCTCATTCATCTCTTCTGAGGGTGGTGACATCAAGATCCACTCATGCGTTCTCAGACTCCACTTCCGCTCTGCAAACCACATCCTCCCCTTCCCCCAGACAGAGATGGCTCCAATTCTGCATCTTTCCCCTTACCCCACCAAAGCTCTTTATCAAAAAATGGACCAAAGTCAGACATGGTGGTGCACACCTTTAATCCCAGCACATAGGAGGCAGAGGCAGGTGGTTCTCTGAGTTTGAGGCCAGCCTGGTCTACATAGCACGCTCCAGGACAGCCAGAGCTACATAATAGAGTAGACCTTGTCCCAGGAAAACAAAAACAAAAACCACTAAGACTGTAAGATGTGAGGTCATTCTTGCCACCTGCCATGTACTCTGTTCCTAATTTTCCCTATGTCATTTCACCAAGAATGTCACAATTTCCCTCTTGTCTCAGTACAGGGGCAACACCACCTAGTAGTAGTGGCAGTGCACGCCTTTAATCCCAGAACTCAGGAGGCAAAGGCAGGCAGATTTCTGAGTTTGAGTTCAGCCTGGTCTACAGAGCAACTTCCAGGACAACCAGGACTACAAAGAGAAACCTTGTTTTGAAAGCTAAAATGGTGGTAGTTGGTAGTGCACGCCTTTACTCCCAGCACTTGGGAGGCAGAGGCAGGCAGATCTCTATGAGTTCAAGGCCAGACTGATCTATAGAGTGAGTTCCAAGAGAGGTTCCACTACACAGAAAAACCCTGTCTTGAAAAACCAAAACCAAAACCAAACAAACAAAAAAAAGAGCAGCACCAATCTATGCAAGGCCCAGAGCTCTCAGCATCCTGGCCCAAAACAGGAAGAAGAGCTCTGCAAAGTTGAGAGCAGAGTTCCAGAGATCAGGGTGACTGGGGCCAAGGAGCATCTGGGGCGGGGCACCTAGGGCTCCTACTTACTCCACACGTGACAGCCTTACAGATATCACAGCAGAGACTACTTGGTTCTGAATGGTGGCTGGGTAACGGTGTGGGCCTGGATGAGCAAACCGCCTAAGAATCTGGAGAATCGCTGGCTTTTAGACTAGGAGTTAAGAGCTGAAAAGATGAGGACCATGCCTTCCCGATACTAAGCAGTTAGAAAAGTATTTCTGAGGTCAACACAACTGACCCCTCAAATAAATCCTTCCTAGTGCCAAAGAACTTGCTCCTGAAGGTCCCCAACCCACCCTAGTATCTTACAAAGTCTTATCAACAGGAATATTATTTTCCATACCAGAAAAAAAAAAACAGTTGAGCAGCACAGGCAAAAATATATCTGCACTACGTTTCTGTCATTGCCAAAAATATACACATCTTTTTTTATTACAAAAAAAAAAAAAACCCAAAAACAAAACCCAAACAGAAACACACCAAAATGCACACATGCAAAGGGACCCACAGACATGAACATCAGGGAAAACTGGCCCTCAGTCCCAGCCAGTGCAACCAAAAGGGACACAGGCCTCCATGGCTGCGCTTCCATGACCCACTCAATGTTCCTCACAATGGCCTTGGGCAGACCGACTCTGCTGCCTACGACCACAGCCTGGAAAACAGCTGGTGGGTGAAAGGGACAGTGGCTAGCTTAAGTGGCTCTCCTAGCTGGTGAAGGTGGGGCTGAAGAGGCAGGCTAGCTACTTCAGGGAGGGAGACTTCTGCTAGAAGTGGTGCTTTACCCCTCCCTAATCTCTTATGCCAGCAAAGACCAGATACGGGGGGGGGGGGGGGGAGGCCCTGAGGGGCCCTGAGACAGAGTGGGGTCCAGAGGAGGGAAGGTAGGATATTACCCTGATTCAGAGCCTTCAGCCCCCAGGAATTCTCCAATATTGGAGTACTGTTCTTTTTTTTAAAATTTTTTTAAGTTTACAATTCATGCCCTGGAAAAGGACTAGAGCTGAGAAGGGGGTACAGGCTACAAGAGCTAGGAAGTCCTGCTCTGGTTCTGGCCAATGCTCCTGTCCTTGCCCTTGGCTGCCCCAGGTCCAGAGAAAGGGGTGACAGACAGACAGGTTAAGCAGACTGACCGTAAACACACACTCACACTCACACACACTCTCACGCTCTGTGGAGTCAGGCAGCTCCCTCTCCCCACCCTCGGCACTCCTCAAGCCAATAGTGCAAAAAGGGGCAGGACACCAAGGACAGTGAGGGATGACCCCCACCCCCTGCCCAGCCCCATCATGGGGCCCCAAGAGGTGCTATCCTGCCCTTCCTCAGCCCCCCACATCTGTAGGCTTTTCCAAGCTCAGCTTGTGACCCTCAGTGGGGAGGGATGATGGGAAGCAGTCAAAGGGACCCCTTCTGCTGGGAAGACTCTGAAGGTCAACTGGGACCAGCCCTTTTTCCGTAAGGAATACCACACAGGGGAGGCCCAAGGGCCTACCCTGCTCCTTCCCCATTCAAGTGCTGACTGGTTTACATGGTAGGTCCAACCAACTCTCCACTTCCTATGCCATGACCTGCTTTGCTCTTTGGGGGGGCTCCTAGGCAGGCTTGGAGCCTGTCCTCCCCGATCCTCGCTCCTGGAGCAGCCAGTGCAGTACGGGAACAGGCCAGGTGGAAGGGCTTCCCTCCAGTCTCTCTCCACAGCACCTGGAACTCCAGGCACACACTCCCTGGGCATCAGCACAAGCTCTGGGCCTGGCCCTCCAAGAGTCCGGGCCCAGGTACCCATTCCAGGCAAGGACCCTCAAGCCATGTAGGGGTCAGGAGAGACAGGGTCGAGTTAGCCTTTTTCCTGGCTGGCTGAGGCTCCTTTGTCAGTGGTCTGGAAAGACAGGAAGGGAGATTTTGAATATTGGAGGCATCTGGCCCTATTGCCCAGGTAGAACAGCTCCCAAGGACGGCAGAGGCTACTGGAGCAGAGTATGGAGCAGCCAGGCCTCTGCCTGTCCGCAGTGTGTGGAGTGAGAGTGCCTGACTTGTGCCCAGAGCTGGCTTCCTGGGCTCAGGTGAGTGAGTTCTCCAAGAAGAAACAGGCCTGCCCAGAAGGGCATCTCTTTCTAACTGCTGCACACAGGAGGGAAACAGCATTTTCTAACTATTCCTCCCACTGGAAAGCTGGTTTTTAAAATAGACTTTAAAAGAAAACAAAAAATCATAGTCAATGTGTATATGCATGTGTACACACACATGTGTGCACAACAGAGGACAGATTCCCCGAATCTGCTCTCTCCTCCAGTACATGAGTCCCTGATCAAATTCAGGTCATCAGGTTTGGTGGCAAGCACCATTTTACACTTTGAGCCATCTCACCAAGCTGGAAGGCTGTTTTCTCTAAATGGCTCAGAGCGGCCTTTCTTGCATCTGAAGAAGGGAACCCCAATGGACACGAGGTCCTGCTGTCTGCAGCCGGCTATCTGGTTGACCTAGGGGTTGCTGCCTCCCACTACAGATCTATCTGATGTCACTGTAACTATCCCTCTCTGCTTGTCCCTTAGAAGGGACAAAGAAGACCCAGGCCCCTTACTCACCCCTCCTTTGGGGCCACTCCCACTGGCATCTGCCCCGGGCAGGCTGAGAAAGGGGTTGGTCTGGGCAGTGAGGACTGGCGGTCCGCCTGCTGCTGCTACTGCTGCAGCCGCAGCTGCTGCAGCCATGAGACTTGTATTGCTGCCGAGTGAAGGGGCCACCAGGGCTCCAGCAGGCAGCAGGGGTGGGGCTGATGCTGTAGGCAGCAGGCCAGGGGTGCCCGCAGACAGCAGTGGGGTGGAGCTTCCAGCCAGCAGACTGGCCATGGGCAGCTGGGAGCCCCCAGCCATCTGCAGCCGTTGCAGCTCCCGTTTCTGCTGAATCTGCTGGATCATCTGGTAGACCACAGTCTGGTGCTCCTGCAAGGATAGACTGCTCAATGGTAGTGGCCCTGCTGTCTTCCCCAAGGCTACCTGCCTTGCCAGACCAGGGCCCCTCGTACTGGAACCCTAAGGCCCACGACAGGAAGACCAAGAGTCTGTCTCTACTTTGGCACTCTGGGCCTCTGTCTCCCCCTCTGGACAAGTAAAGGACTACCTGTGGCCAGGTAAGCAGCTGCCAACTGAGCACCTGGGCAAGTGCAGGCCGTACACAGCTCTGGCCCTGCCCACCGTGTCAGGTCCTCAGTCCCTATGACAACCACACTCCAAACAGAAGGCATGGAAGTGGAACAACAATCACCAAGCACTTCCCTTCTTTTTTTTTTTCTTTCTAAAAACTAGTTTGAAAGACTTGGTGGCACTCATGCAGAAGCAGAAGAATCTCTGAGTTCAAGATCAGCCTGGTCTGTAAATGGAGTTCCAGGCCAATCAGAGGTTAGTGAGACACTGCCTCAAAAAACAAAAACAAAGAAAAAAAATTTGTCTGTGGCCAAGAAAGATGCCTCAATGGCTATTCTTCCAAGGGACCTGGATTTAAGTCCCAGCAGCTACAAGGTAGCTTTCAACAATCTGCAAACAGCCTAGCTCCAGGGTACCCAATGCCCTCTTCAGGCCTCTGTGGGCACTGCACACACGTAGTACACAGGCAGATACATAAAATAAAAATAAATGGAAAAGGGGGTGCAAAAAGTTGCTTTGTTTTTGAGGCAGGGTCCCATTCAGGGTTGGCCTCAAACTTGATATGGAGCTGACAATGACCTTGAACTTTCGGTTCTTCTGCCTCTACTTCCCGTGTGCACACTGAGATTATAGGCATAAAACGCCATCCCCAACTATTTATTTTTATCTAACTTTAAAAGGCATTTATTTTCAGTGTCTCAAAAACCAAAATTAAAGCCGGGCATGGTGGCACATGCCTGCCCTCAATCCCAGCATTTGGGAGGCAGGAGCAGATGGATCTTTGTGAGTTCAAGGCCAGCCTGGTCTACAAAACAAGTTATGGGACAGCCAAGGCTACACAGAGAAATCCAGTGTGTGTGAGAGAACAACAACAACAACAACACACACGGAGAGTAACATTCTGTTCCCACAAAGTAATCGGTTCAACTGCTTCTCTTCTTGAATAATTATTTGTAAATTACACTTATTTACTTTCTGTGTTAGGGGGTATAACTGGTGGTCAGGGACTCTATTCTCCCCTCTCACCGTGTGGGTTCCACGGATGGAACTCAGGTCACTAAGCAGACAGCAAGGTCCATCTTAGGGGGTTCTGAAACAGGGTTTCTCTGTAGCTTCGGAGGATGCCCTGGAAGTCTCTCTGTAGACCAGGCTGGCCTCGAACACAGAAATCTGCCTGCCTCTGCTGCCCAAGTGGTAGGATTAAAGGCGTGTGGCGCCACCACCCAGCTCTGTGGCGTCATCTTAACAGACTTCTTACTGTTTGGGGTTTTCGTTTTATTTTTTTTTTCTTGGTTATTTTATTTCTTTAAGACGCATGTCTTAAAGCTGGGTGGTGGTGGCGCACACCTTTAATCCCAGCACTCGGGAGGCAGAGAGGCAGGTGGATCTCTGTGAGTTTGAGGCCAGCCTGGTCTACAAGAGCTAGTTTCAGGACAGGAACCAAAAGCTGCGGAGAAACCCTGTCTCGAAAAACCAAAAAAAAAAAAAAAAAAAAAAGACTCATGTCTTACTCTAAAGTCCTGGGCAGACTCCAATTCATCATGTGGCCCAGGCCCACCTTGAACTCATGGCCATTCCCCAGCCTCAGGCTCCAAGGCTCCAAACTGCTTGGAGTACTGTCATATACCACACACCACACCCAGCAACCTATTCATTTTGTTTGTCTGCCTTGAAGGGGATGCAGACAAGGACCTAATGCGTGGGGCGCCACTAAGTCAGACTCAGCTTCAATCCTCATTTTTAAAAGGTGGTCGAGAGAATGTCACCTGCATAGAAACCTCCCCGAGATCCTGGAAATCCCCCAAAGACTCTTGGGGCAGGGACTGCAAAACTCAGTTCCTACTGGACCTGCCACTCTCCAAACTCTGTCACTGCAATGTGACCCAGCAGCCCCAGCCCAGTGCCCAAGAGGCCCTGAAAACAGTCTGTCTTCCAACTGCTCACAAACCCCCCAGGTTCAAGCCCACCAGCCTGGAGACCCTCTCCATGGTTGCATTCTTGGAGGTAGGCTCTTTGGGTAGGGCTGGCAGGGGATAGCAAGGGAGGGGGTACTCACTGGAGTCAGCTGTGGAGAGGCCAGGAGCTGCTGGAGCTGCTGGAGCTGCTGCTCTTGCTGCTGAAGGAGGTGTCTCTGCTGCTCTGTCAGGCTGAGGCCGGTATAACATAGATAAGAAGGTACCAAGAGAAAGACCCCACACCCACGAGTTCCCAGAAGCCCTCAAGCCCAGGCAGATGGACAACCTGTCCAGAAGACTAGCAGTAGGGACATGATTCAGATCTTGTCCCCTGAACTACTCCTGTCCAGATACACCCAGAGCTAAAATCTGAGGAGTCCCTAAAGTCAACAGACTGCCAGAACTATAAATGCAATAGGGCCTAAGGGTATTTTTTTACTTTGGGTGGGACAAGGGGGTACTGGGGGGCATCCCTCCCACATCCAGCCTCCCATTCCCTTCCCTAGGGCTGAGCTCTCCCTCACCTGTTGAGACAACCTGGCAGTTGAAGCGTGGGGGCCCCGCCAGCCTGGCTCAAGCCCGCAGGGTTGGGAGCAGCAGCCCCATTCAACCCCCCCAGAAGCCCATTGAGGGGCAGGCTCCCGCTGCCAGCCAGCCCACCCAATAGCCCCTCAGCCATGGGCATGGCCCCCAGCCCCGCTGCTCCGGGTGCCCGGCCCAGCCCATTCTGTGGTTGCGGTGGGAGCGGGCCAGGGGCCCCGGGCAGGGCCAAGGGCAGAGCGGCAGGGCTCTGCTGGAGCAGGGGCAGCGGTGGGGGCGTGCTGTGGAAGGACAGCGATGAGCTGCTGCGGCTCGGGCAGCCTGAGTGTGGGTCCTGGGGAGGAGGGGGAAGGGACAAGTCAGAGGGCAGGGGGCCAGTATGACCTTTCTGGCCCCCAGCCCAGTATCCACCAGCATTCTCTTGAAGCAAAGCCCTCTTAAGGCTCCAGGCACCCTGGAGAAACAGCAGGGCCCGGTGAGGAGAGCAAAAGGCTGTAGATCATGTTTACTGGCTACCTCCAGAGGCCCAGCACCCTTTGCTAGTCTGGCTTCATGACGAACAATGGTAATGGTACTGATTTTCCAAGGGAACCAGGTCCAGGGGTGAGTACGGACCTGTACTCATTTCACGTCACGGCTAAAGTCACTGACGTTACCAGTTAAGGAACTCTGCAGCCAAGAGCAACGGAACTCTGACGGGAGCGAGAGGCTCAGGTTCAAATCCCACAACTCAGGGCCTTGGGTAGGTAGCCCTGGGTTCAACCTCTGCCTCGGTTTATGTATTCATACACTGTATGTGACAGCAATATCTTTCCACAAGGTAGCTGTGAAGACTAAGAAACTCTGCAGGGCAAGCTTGCAACTGGTGTTGCTTTTATGATTATGACTGCCCCAAGTCAGAGTAAGTAAGTGGCAGAGAAGAACCAAGCGCCCGGTTTGTTGGATTCCAATAATAACCACAACATAACAATAGCAACTGCTATTCCAACCGCCACCAATTACACAGGGATTAGCATGTGTGAGGCACTATGAGAAACCCTTCACAAAGGCTTCTCAACACTCCCTCCCCAAAACGGCCGCCTTCTCTCGGGCTCCTTTAGCCCTTAATTGAGCTCATCTTTCTATTATTTCTCCTTTGCAATTTGCTGTTCTCTTGGGTTCAGCCCATCTTCGGGAGGCCTGGGTCTACTTCATTCACTGCTTACTTAGTCAGGGCCCTGTATTAAGGAGGCAGCCACATATACTACTTATTTAAAATAACAACCAATCCTTTCAGTGGCCAGTTTCCAACAGCTGCTGGGTAGAACTAGACTGAAAGGACCTCTCTCCAGTTCCTCCTCCCTGTCCCCTCCTTGCAGTGCCCACCTCGGAAGACGTGGACAGGGAATTGTCCAGGCCAAGGCTGTTCTTCCCTGGAGGGCTCTTGCTGGTGCTCAGGGAGTCGTTGCTGCCCACTAAAAGAGGGAATATGGGAGATGCAATGGGACCAGTTCAAGCCACCGGGCAGGAATTCCTACCACAGACTGGACTGGATGCCCTCACCTTGAGGATGCAGCCCATAGGGCCCTGGGACAGGGCCATTCGCGGCAGGCAGGGCAGCAGGCAGGGCAGGGAAGGGCACAGAGAGCTGCACATTGAGGATCTGCAGTCGCTCCTTCTTGGCTGTCAGGCTGAGGATCTGCTCCTGGAGCCGCTGGTTTTCCTTCTGCAGTGCATGCAGGGCCTTCAGCATCTCCACAACTTCAGAGAGAGAGGAGGAGCCTGAGGTTAGTGCAGCACGCATCACAGAGGCAGGGCCAGTGGGAGGGACTGGGTCTAGAGGGCAAAGGCTACCCAGACAGATGCCTTTGGGGAGGGAGATCTAGGATACAGAGGTTTGAGGACTGCAGGAGGCTCCTGATGCTACTGAGATCGAGGGGAGTGGGTACAACCTGGGGTTTGGTTACAACTTGTGCCAGGAGGTCATGAGGAACAAAGGTAGAATTAGCATAGGTGGACGGAGAGCACCACCTATGCAAGGTTAAAGATGAGTCCTGGGGCAGGGGTGAGGGGTGTGTGTGTGTGTATGTGTGTGTATGTGCCATATTCAGACTTAATGTGGAGGGGAGGGACTTGATCCTGCCCCAAATTAATGTGCCAAACTGTGTCAACTCTTCATGGGAGCCCTTGCCTGTTGGGAGGAGTGGGAAGGGGGTGGCAGGAGAACCTTGGTTGGAATGTAAAATGAATTAAAATATAAATGTTTAAAAGAAATAAATCAGCCCTGGAGCCACTGGCTTGAGTCCCTAGGGAAAGGGGAAGCAGTGGCTGGGACAGGCCTCCCGTCCCTGTGCTCCCCGCTCACTGTTGACACCAGCCTCTCCATCGCCCTGCTTCTCCAGCAGCTGCTCCATGTTAGTTGTGCCCGGGGCCGTGGTGTCTAACTGGCCACCCCCACAAGGCGCCGCTGTTGTCTGGTCGAAGAGCGCAGGGAGGCTGCTGATGGGAGACCTGAGGCCAGAGGAGACGTGAACTCAGGCTCACCTAGCATAGATTCCAGCCCACCCCCACCAAACAGGAGGTCCTCAATCCTGCCCCCACCCACTCCTCCCTCCACCAAGGTGCACCCTCCCTCACATGGAAGAGAGACTCTCCTGTGGGGAGGTCCCGTGACACCGGAAGCTGCAGTCTTCTAGGTCTGGCTCTTGGAAGGAGAAGGGATGGCAAGGATCAGGGGGAGGGGAGCTACCTGCCTCAGGGCCCTCCCTGGAAAGTGGGTGCTGCTCCTAGGACCTCAACACAGCCCCCTTTTTCAGTACCCCCCAAACCTAGGCTGGTAGCTCATAGTGGCAAGGAGCTGAGCTTGGCAACCGCATCTCAGAAAAGCTCTTCCCTTCCTACAGGGCTCCTGCTGTCTGTTTCTAGATCTTCCAGTTACAGAAACTGAGGTCAAGACAAACCTGGAGCAACTGAACCAGACACTGGCTGTGTGACCTTGAAATGGTAACCAGCCTCTGTGTGTAGCTACCGTTCTCAGGATTAAAATAAGGTCGTAAGAGTGCTGGGCTTAGCTGGCGGGCTCAGCAAGCACAAAGCAAGCCCTTAATCATTGTATTATCATAATTAGCTTTGACTTCTTATATTCATAAACTCAGATGAGAAAACTGTTGTCAACAGGAGACACACACACACACACACACACACAAACGTGCTCTGGGTTATAGAAAGCACACCAATTTTACCCAACCAAGTCCTGAAACAGAAGTCAGATTTGGTTTTAACTCAACTGGCAGCTTACAGCCAAGCCCCGCCCCAAGGCTGACAGGCCCCCAAGTCTCTGTTCAGCTCTCAGGGGTTTAGTAGACTCTGGGGAGAAGATGGAGGAGCTTGCCTCCCACCCCCTTAACTCCTAAACATGTGGAGAGCAGAAAGCCCAGCTGGTGGGACCTCTGTGACCCCGACTACCACTGCACAGGAGGGGTCGGGGAGAGGGCAAGCGTACTGGGCTGGCACTGCCTTGTCTTAGCTGGCTTTGCCATTCTCTACCTAGGGCTTTGAGCAGGTCACTTCTCTTCTGTGGATGGGGCAGGACTGCCCTGCTGTGCCCAGCAATGCTTTCCCTAAGGTGTCCCCTGGCTGGAAGTGTGTAAGATAAATGTTTAGGCAGAGGAGGCAATGGCCGGAGGGAGGGGACCCTCATGCTTTCTACAGCCATGTTCTTCAGAAGAAAAGGGAACAGGAGCAGGGGCCAGCATACCTGTGTGGCTATTCTCGGCTTGGGTGAGGAGGGGGTTTACAGTGCCCACGGGGGTTCCAAAGATGTGGGAAGAAGGGAGACTGAAGGTAGAGCCAGCCAGAGAAAAGACCTGTTGGGAGGACCAGACTCCAGCCTCAGTGTGCTCGTCCTCTACCACAGCTGGACAGTGTGGTAGGGCACACTTGGAGAAGAGAGGGCACACTGTAGGTGCTGTCCCCACCTGCCCAGGAAGTGTCTCACCTGAGTGGTGGAGATGGAAGCAGAAGAGGATGGGAGGGTGCTGGTGAATGGGGAACGGCTGAGACGGGGCAAAGCTGAGGTCCCTGGAGGCCCCAGCAGGCTGGAAGAGAGTGGGGTGCTACAGACAGCCCGCAGCATCCCTCCACCATGAGAGATGGGGTCTTTATTACTGGTGTAGATTCCTAAAAATACAAAGACATACAGGAAACCCTAAGGTCCCCTTATCCCCCAGACTCCTCTTCAGATGGGAAGGCAGCCCCTCTTCAGGGAATACTGCATGCCTGGGACTCTGGCCTTTCACTTCTACTACCCCGCCTTGGTCTGGGCAATTCTGAGCTTTTCTTATTTTTCTATTAGAACACTCCTGATCCTGTTGGCGTCTACCCCAGTCTCCTCATGCAGACGACATCTAAGAGAACATCTTAGAGCTAATGGTCACCTCCATTCTGTCTTTTGGAGCAGTTTCTACCCAGCTACATTTCCTCTAACTCTTCCATTTAAGTTCCTGCTTTCTCACAGGACTGGTTAGTCCTTGAGATGTTCTTTAACTACAGGAGTCACTAACCTGCCCCCAGCAGAGGGGATTCCAGGCTCAGGCTGGGCAAGCTTCCTGAAGGCCCAAAGGTCCGGGAGGCCAGACCCCCAAGGCCGGAGCTGACCAGGGAGCCTCCAGAGAAGGGCGAGGCAGCAGTAGCAGTAAAACCAGCCAGCTGAGCCCCAGGGAGGGAGGCAGTGGGGCCTGTGGCACCCTCCTTGCCTCGGCTACCCTTAGGACGGCCTGGCCCGTGGCGGCTCCTCTTGCTGGCTTTGTGCTTCTTCTCCTTCAAGCCTGTCTCAGGAGCCTCCTCGGCAGGTCCAAGGGTGGCACTCAGTGCAGGCATCCGCTTATGGGTGCCGCCTGCTGAGGCCCCAGCTCCCGAAACATGGGGAGACTTGTAGTCCCCAGGTGAGGGGGCTCGGGCCCGGCTGGAGCTGGAGGAGGTGGCAGAGAAGCGCATGACGGGCCCAAAGCCAGAGAAAACCACCTTCTGCTCGAAGAGGTCAGCCTTAGGGGGCTCAGGGGCTGTGGGCGAGGGAGGGGCTGGCGGAGTGGGGGCCGTGGGCTTGGAGTACTTGTCTTCCTCAGGCTGCTCCAGCTTGGGGAATGCCACGAAGTCAGGAGAGCTTTGCAAGGACGAGCCTGCAACAAAGGAAGGGGATTGCTGCTGGACCACTTACCTCCCTCGTTCCCTACCAGCTTGAGGGAGAACACTAGCCGGGGAATGAAGCCTTGTGTGTTCTAGGTTAACAGCCCCTGCTGGAAACAACAGGAGGGAAGCCACTTCCACCCTTGAGTGAATTACTGTCACATTAGCACTGGCAGGGACAGGTTTTCACTCTTCAGCACAGGCCGGCCTCAAACTCAAGCAATCCTGCAGCTCCCAAATGCTGGGATTACAGGCCGCCATGCCTGGAACTAATATTGGTGCTTCTGAATGGCCCCTTTGGCACAAGAGTAGGGGACATTACTGCGGGGCTGGAGGGGTTGGCCCTGAAAGGAACAGATGAGCTCTGACTTAAGAAGGGAAAGGTGAGGGCTGGAGCACTGATTGCTCTTCTAGAGGACCCGAGTTCAAGCCCCAGCACTCCCACGGCAGTCTATAACCATCTAGCTATAAAAGTATCTAACACATAGCCGGGCGGTGGTGGCGCATGCCTTTAATCCCAGCACTAGGGAGGCAGAGGTAGGCGGATCTCTGTGAGTTCGAGACCAGCCTGGTCTACAGAGCTAGTTCCAGGAGAGGCTCCAAAGCCACAGAGAAACCCTGTCTCGAAAAAAAAAAAAAAAAAAAAAAAAAAAAAGGTATCTAACACATATTACCGAAAGCAAAATAAGGTATCTAACACAACTACCTATAACAGGACCTGACACAACCCATCTTTAACGATCCTATGCCCTCTTCTGGTGTGCAGACAAAGCACCCACATGCAAAAATAAATAAATCTTAAAAAAAAAAAAAAGAGGGAAGGGTGGAGAACCCAACTGGGAACTGAGCCTCTGGGGGAGGGAGGAATTCCCTGTGAAGCACCAGTCCCTTGCCAGCCACAACAGCATATGACAAAAGGCTCCCCCTCCCGGCCTCCTCCATGACACCCATACTCACCTGCAGGCTGAAAAGACCCCCCAGAGGAGGAAGAAGAGGAAGAGGAGGAGGAAGAGGAGGAGGCGGAGGTAAAACTGCTCACACCTTTCCCACTGCTCAGTTTCTTCCCCTTATGACTCAGGCTATGGCTGGAAGACTTTTTCCCCTTTGAGTCCCTGCTGCCCTCAGAGGTCTCCTGAGTGCTGGCCTCATGGTGGGAGGAAGTCGGAGCTGAGGAGACCTAAGGGAGAGACAACAGAGGCTCATTGCCAGCTGCACAATCCAGCTCAGCCTGATTTGGGGATGAGGGTGAAGGCACAAGACCTGGGCTCAATTGTCTCCAGGCAAGGAGCTGTGGGAGGCTCTAGAACAGTGAGACAGGAGGCAGCTGCAGAATTCTAGGGAATGTCCTGACCTTGTCTTTGCCCCAGGACCCAAGAGAGACCAGTCCACATTCCGCACTGACCTACTCAGCGAAGGCTCACTAGGAAATACCTCTGGCCTAAAGATTGGTGCTGGTCTTGGGCCCTCCAGCTGTTACCACTCACAGCCACCTGGCTTCGGCCCATCTCTGACGACTGCAAATTCTTGCTGGAATCCCCAAGCCTGCACACCAACCCACCACAGGGCAGCCTGTCTTTGCTCCTCCAACACCCAGCTAGGAAGCCCCAACTCTAGGAAGCCTTGCTACACACCTAGGCGAATAACCTGGTCTTACTCTCAGGCTGAGGTGCGATACTCTGGGAGGGCAGGGTGTTGGGAGGCTCTGCCCTCCTCACCATGGTATCTCTGTTGTGTAGCCTCTGGACCTCGCTCAGCAGTTACCATCCTTAGGAGCACATTCCTGGGGGTCAGGAGCAGCTCCGTGCCAGAGACACAGCAGAGGTTCAGTAAATAAGGCGTCTGATGGCAGTGGTTGTTACTAGTGCCTGTGCGAGCACAGCCCTTCAAGCCAGACCACTGTGGTTGAAAGCTTTCCCCGCTAGCTGTGTGCTTTTAGACAAATTATGTAACTTCTCTGTGTTCTCAGTGTCACTGAGGAAGTGGAAGTGACCTGGCAAGGCACCTACCACACTGGGTTATTCTGACGACTAAACTAAGTCCTCCCCATGTGCCCCTGCTCTCCCCTGGTTCCAAAGACAGTCTGGCCTCTATGTAGTTGTGCCTGAGTACCTGAGAAGGTGAGCTCTCTTTAGGGTGGATACCAAGTATTCAAATTGAGCCCAAGGAGCGAATGAGAGGGAAGTGAGAGCTACCCTCCCTGGCGGAGCCCTTGTCTCTGTCTTCCTTTGTTCTTTTCAGCAGCTGGAGTTCTGAAGGGAGCCAGATGTGGTTCGGAAAGCCACCAGGAAGAGAGGAGCTGGGGGAAGGGGGTCTAAGTATTGGGATGGGTTGTGAGGGGATAGGCAAAACTCTACAGCATGTCCAAAGGTAACCCCCATTGGTAGGGGACCCCCGACAGGTCTATCTGCCTGAAGGTTCCAGGGAAGGTCAGACCAGCTTTCCCAGGTGAGCCCAGGGAAGCAAAGCAGGAGGGGAGTTACTGGGACAGTTGCCACAGCAACATCACCCTGGAAACCTGATACCTAAGCCTCCTGCTAAAATGCCCAGTGCCCTGCCAACCGTGTGAGGGAGCAGAGGTGACTAGCAGTAATTGGACGAGAGGGAGTGCTTTCTCCAGGCCCCCAGGAGACTCACACAGTCTGCTCTGGCTTGGATTAGCACTCTCTGGCCTAGGGTAGGGCCTGCCTGTTGCTCCTTCAGATGCTACCCATTTCTACAGCCAAGCCAGCTGAGAGGGTGGGGTGACTGGGGATTTCAGGGTATTGCCAGAAGCCGCTCCCACCCAGCAGGAAGTGGGATCTAGCCGTCCCCCAGTGGCAGGAGTTCTCAGCCTATCCCGCAGGGAAAACAAGCCCGGGGGCCACACCTCTGCTCTCCAAAGACAAGAGCCCAACGCTGAGCCTCAGCTTGGACAAAGGTGCCCACATGGCAGTTAACAGGCAGGGAGGCACCCCCACCTCACCCATAGCATGTGTCGGGGCTTGCTGTGAGAGGATGCCCAAGCAGGCCCCTGCTCACCCTGACCCTTCACACTACATACACAGTCACCCCCGGACTAGCACACTCAGCATCCTGAGAACAAGCAGTAATACCTTATCAGCAGTGGGGACCACAGGCGGGGTGAGGATGCTGGGGGGGGACTCAGGCCGCTTCTTGTGCTTCTGTTTAAGGCGTTCCTTATCCTTTCGACTCTGGGGAGGAAAAGGGGACCAGATATTGATGGAAGGGGAGTTTGAAGGAGGTTAACCATGACACGTGAGTGTAGGGGGCTCAGTGAGTCCTCTCCCTCCACAGAGCGATGGAAGACTCCAGCTGGACAGGAGTGGCTCAGGCAAGATCCTCTGAGAGCCAAGAGCCCCTCCCCCATCTTCCCTCCTGCTAAAAATAGCCTGTCCCATTATCGCGCCAGTGACAGAGCACCACCACATGAGCAGGCACTCACAAGGGTGTACCCCTGGAACACACATACACTTCTTGGCATGGGGATAGGCTAGAGATGTGTGCAAACATGTAGGATCACAAAATCATAGGTTGGGGACACTGTCACGTCGTGAGGAAAACAGAGAATTAGGCAGACGTAGAAGCCAGGTCCCAACCTCTGAGCCTCAGGGTGTACCTCCTTAGCTACCTCTTCAACCTCAGTGGCCTCCGGGGAAGACCTAGGCACCTGGTGGGAGTCTCTGAAAAGAGCTATGTCAGACAGAGCAGGCCTTCACCTTCTTCTGGCCCTTCTCATGGTGGGTAGGGTGCTTCTCCTGCTGTGTGGACGGTGAGGCTGACCGGCTTCTCCTGCCAGTAAGGAAGCTGTTGCTGCTGCTGCCGCCGCCGCCGCCTCCCCCTGAACCACCTCCACCACCGCTGGTACCACTGCTGCCACCTCCTCCACCGCCTCCACCTCCTGTTCCTCCTCCTCCCCCGCTGGAGTGCCGCGAAGTCTTCTGAAGGTAGAGATTGAGAGGAATTGCCAAACCTTTCTTTCATTAGCTTAAGGAAGGTTTCTGAAGGTCGCAGGATCCCAGAGCCGGTCCCTCTGCCCCTGCAGGTTACCCCTGCCTTCTGTGATTCGCTGGTCAACCTAGAAATCCTAGGGCTTCCCCAGCTGTCTTTTGTTTTGTTTTGTTTTGTTTTATGAGACAGGTTTCTCTGTGTAGCCCTGGCTGTCCTGGAACTCGCTCTGTAGACCAGGCTGGCCTCGAACTCACAGAGATTCAGCAGTCTCTGCCTCCGAAGAGCTGGGATTAAAAGCGTGTGCCACCGTCTTAACAATGTACAGATTTGCCGGGCGGTGGTGGCGCACGCCTTTAATCCCAGCACTCTGGAGGCAGAGGCAGGCGGATCTCTGTGAGTTCGAGACCAGCCTGGTCTACAAGAGCTAGTTCCAGGATAGGCTCCAAAACCACAGAGAAACGCTGTCTCGAAAAACCAAAAAAAAAAAAAGAAACAATGTACAGATTCAACCACAGAGGTCAGAATCATAAAGAGGCACGGACCAGCCTTAGCCTCCAAAGAGGGACAGTGAGGTTGGGCATGGACCTGGACCCAGGACTTGGGCCTCTTGCTGCCTTCCCATATTCCAGTGCTCTCCTAGCATCTCAGGCAGCCTGAACCACAGCCTATGGCCACCTACTTCCCTTAGAAAAAAGGTACGCAGAGGACAGTCCGGGAGGAGCCCTGGCTCCCTGAGAACTCATTTCTCTCAGAGCCCTCATATCCTCCTCCTTGGTTCTGCTTCTCCTCTCTGCCCAGCAGTCTAGGTCCATACAGAAGATCTGCTGCCCTGAGCCGGGGGCTGCTGTCAACGAACACCAAACCACCTCCCTGGGATTGCCCTCCTTGTGCCTGGTCTGACAGCTTTACCCATCCTAGGCTCGCAGCTGCTCCCTATGACCACCAATGAGTCCCCAGTTGCCAAAGCCTAGGATTAATTTCAGGCCTCGCCAGCTTGGGCTCTGCTCCTACTTCATCAAGTCCCAGATCTTTTCTCCCAAGTCTCTTTCACATCTGGACCCTGTCTATTCTGGACACCCACAGAGGCAGCTTCAGGCTTGTAACCTCTGCCTGCCCTTGCCACCCTGCCTGGGGACCCCCACCAAAGTCTACCTACTGCCACCTGCAAACCTGCAAATGCATCAGAACTCCTGACCTTGCCCTAAGTGGCCATCAAACTCTAAAAGCACAGTGACTGTGTAATTAGGAGCAAACCAGGACACCGCTGAAAAGAGAAGGGGATCTATTAGTCATCAAATGGGGGAAACAGGCACAAAACAAGATGGTCTGGGTGGACCGAGGTGTGGACTCCCTGAGAGGCCAGCGGCCCCCTTCCTAACACCCCCAGGGACCCACCTCTCCCCACCCAGTGGTTGGCTACAGCCTGGATCTTACTTCACATTCACCTCCGCTTCTTGACCACTCTCATGTTTAGACAAGCACACCTCCAGGGACTCCAGCATCCAGCCTCTCGTCCCTGTCACCCGCCCCTCTGCTTGCAGCTGTCTCTCGACCCAGCTTCCTGGTTGCTGCCAGGATAATCTGACTATAACACAAATCTGATCATATTACTCTCTGGCTTCTCAGGAGCTCTCCAAGCTGTGGCCTGGGGCACAGAGTCCTGGCTGCAGCCTACTTCTGCAGATACATCCCAGCCTGGGGAAGCTCCTCGTCTGTTCAGCCATGACAGCCTCATCTCCTCCCTCAAGCTCACTACCTGCCTGGTCCCATCAAACAGCCTTCCCTCCGGCCCCAGCACAGGCTCCCCCTCACCTTATCTTATCTACCCCTGGCATGGCCAGTTCCTGAGGGCCTTTCTGATGGAATTGTTTGTTCTGCCTCCCACCCACCAGCTGGGAGACAAGCTATACCATCAGGGACGCTTAATTTACCTATCTGTGAAATGGGACACAGGCAGCACATTTGGGCCATGGGGGAGGATCACACACGGTCAACAAGAGCCTCATGAACGCAAAAAACACCCTGTCCCAGCACAGTGTTATCCTACTTGTCCTCCTAGCTCTAACTAGCTTAAAGTTTCCCAGATTGACAGGTGCGAGGGGGAGGGTTCTGTCTCCTAGCCTTGACTACTCACTTGGGCTAGTTCTGATTTGCACCCCGCAGAGCTCCCAGAAAGCAGGGACTAGGGGGCACGGGGGGGGGGTCTTTCTTCTTTCTGCCTTCCAGCACCAGGCACAGGTGTCCCAGAGCGCATGTGCCCTCTAGCAGGCAGGACTCACCATCTTGCTGAAGTGGTATTTGCAGTAGCCACAGTACTTGACATTGTCCACCTCCAGCACTTCTTCCTCACACAGCAAGCCTGCCATCTGGGCACTGAGGAGAGGCAGGTCAGCAGGGTGTAGCCACAGACCACAGCTGCCTCCACCTCCTTCCTCCTGGACCCAAGTTCTAAGCATGGCATTGCCACCAGCTCTCACAACAGAGTCCCACTCCCCTCCCCTCCCCCAAAAAATTTATAAAAAGCTGGGCAGTGGTGGTGCACGCCTTTAATCCCAGCACTCAGGAGGCAGAGACAAGTGGATCTCTGTGAGTTCGAGGCCAGCCTGGTTTACAGAACCAGTTCCAGGACAGGTTTCAAGGTTACAGAGAAACCCTGTCTCAGAAAAACAAAAAACAAACAAGCAAACAAAAAGATAGTAACACTCAACAGCCACCACAAAGCCCAGAGCAGCTGGGAATGGGAATCTCACCAGGTGACATGAAAAGCCTGTCGACATCCGTGGCGGTTACAGGTCATGCAGGCTCCTGATGCGGCTTTGCTCTCCCGGCCCTGTTCCTCACAGATGTAACAGGTCTGCAGGGCACAGCACAATGGACCCCTCCTCCAGGGAACCCCACCTTGCCTGCTGGGGGAGTCTCTGGCCTCCCCTCAGTCCCATCCTGCCCTCCACCACCCCAGACCAGTGCTAGCCAATAGAATTTCCGACAGGAACAGAAATGGTCTGGAACCTATACAATGCAAGTCAACAAAAGCGAGTCACAAGGTCATCAATGCAGCTGGTATGCCTGGGGAAATGAATTCTGAAAATTTTAAGAGTTTATTTATTTCTACATGTATGAGTGTGTGTCTGTATGTATACCACACTGTGTGCCTGGTGCCCTCAGAAGCCAGACAAGCGCACTGGATTGATTCCCTGGAATTGGAGGTACACATGGCTGCAGGCTGTCATGTGAGTACCAGGTGCTGAACCTGGTTCTGTGCAAAAGCAGCAAGTGCTTCATCTACCAAGCCCTCTTTCCAGCCCGAGTATTCAATTTTCAAGGCACAGTCCTTGGTAAGGCTCGAGAGGCTGGCATCTATGTTAGCCTAGCTCCCTGATATGCCCACTGCTCCACTTGCTGGACCTCTGCATATGCTGTATCTTTTCATGGAACCTGGGACCGATCCTCAAAGTCAGTTCTTTGTCACGCCCTAGGACGCAGCCTTAACTTCTCCTTCCTTAACCACCTTATACCCAAGCAAGCCTCACTGGGTGTCCTTTATCTAAATGCCTGTTCATCCATCTGTCTTGATTAATAGCAAGCACTGGGTACCTGCTGCACCATCTCGCTCACATACTAGAAACTCAAGAATGCACTACTAACTAAAGGCTGTTCTCTGGCTGTGCTACTTTGGGGGAGCTTACTATTTGCCAGAGTCCACAGAGCAGAGGCATACACCTGTCTGTGCACAGAAGATAGTCCAGCAGTACGCATACTTCTCCTGAGTTCCCCAGGAGAGCTAGAAAGCATAATGGTGGCACCCCAGGACAATAGGCCAGGAAAGGGACTAGTGAGGGGCCACTGACCTTGTTGAAGCGGTCATGAGGGACATACTGCAGCACAATGGGCTCCATGGTGAGCACGTTGGCAAACTGCACCTCTGGGATGTAGAGGGCACACACCACGTGGGCCCAGCCTGGGACAGTGTGAGGATCAGCCTCAGCAGACCAGCAAGCACGAGACCCCACCCCTCCCAGCACCAAGCTGTAGACTGTCCCCTGCTTCCACAACCAGAGCAGGGAAAGCCAGCCCACCCCCCACCTGCTCAGGGGGCCTGGCTGACCTGAGCGGGGGCTCAGGGTCCCCTCACCTCCATTGTCAGTCCTCTTCAACGCCCCATCTTTGTGTGGGCACAGCTCACACCTCTGCCAATGCAAGAAGCACAGGTGTTTGGGGGGAATCTGCTGATCCGGACCCTCCCTGAACTCATCCAAAAGAACCCAAGATGACATAGATCTGGGGAAGGGTGTGCAGAAAAGAGGCTTGGCCAAGAGCTCATAACTGCTGAAGACTGGGTAAGGCGGACCTGAGGTTCATTTACAAAAAAAAAAAAAAAAAAAAAACAACCCACAAACACACACAAATCAAAGCCCCCCTGCTGGAGGTCTGGAGGTGGGGCAGAGCAAAGTGATGAGCAGAGGAGGGCTGGGCCTGGGGGTGTGTGTGTCAGGAAACAGGATATCCTGAGTGGCAAAGCTTAGTCCTGCCCCAGCCTCAGGGTGCCCTAGCTCAACCTATAGAAGATGCTGTGATATGGGGAAAGAAAAAAAAAAGAACAGAATCTGAACTCACCACCCTGGCTGCTCGCTCCTGAGATTCACATTTCCTGCAGAACCAGGGTCCCGTTGGCACCTGGACGATGCCATAGCAAGCTAAGAGTGGGGGAGGAGAGTCACTGAGCAAAGCCCACAGCCACTGGTTTTTCCCCCCTGAATAACTGGGGGCATGGAGAGACTCAGGAGACTAAAACCAGCCCAGTAGGTGGGGCTGCTCCCCAGACTCCGGGTCACTCTGAAACAGGACCACAAGTAATGTCCAACAGCATAGAGCCAGCCTTCAATCACAGGACCACGCATTCCGAACAGGGGCAAGTTTGACAGGCCTTGACCTTAAACTTCCGAGGATCCTCCTCCATCCTCACCCCCCTACCCCCTTTTATCCCCTGGACCTGTTTTCCATCCTCTGCCCTGACCAGACATCCGAACAAGAAATAGTCATGATTCTAACACGTTTTGTTGTTATGGGGGGGGGGCACTTCTTAAAGGGCCAGTAAGGGATGAGGCAAGGAAGTCGGGGGTCCAAGAACCTCATTTTCTGTCTCTATCACAGGTACAGGTCAAAAAGTCAAGGCTGAGCAGGTGCGGTGAAGGTAACCAAGGGAGACTGGCGGGAAGAGCCCTCTGTCACCGCATTAAGGGCTGTCTCAGGAAGGGGGGGGGGGGGTTGGTTGCCTGTGCCAGACAGGCAGAGATGCCAGCCTGCGCCCTCGGCAAGATTCCTTAAGGAGTTAACTCCCGATCCATGTGCTGCTGGGGGAAACTCCAAACCTCCCTCTCCTCCATTCCGGGCCCCCTGTACCACCGCTCTCCCAGCCTCAGCTCTTCCCCGGAGGATTTCAGGAGTCCCTTCTCCCGTGGGACCCTTCTCCCTACCCAATTCCGCTCCTCCCAGCATCCGGAAGCAAAGGAGGATGACCCCCCCTTGACCTCTTCCTCCCGGAGCGGGAACCAAAATAAACCGGGTGTGTGTGTGTGGGGGGGGGGGGATACCTCGCAGGTAAACATTCTCGGGACAGCCCCGAAACCGGCGGTGCGGGTATCAGGGAGTTCACTCCTTGCTCCCTGGACTCTCCCCAAAACTCCTTCAACTTGGGGTGGGGGGCGCGGGACTGGAACAATAGGCAAGAAAACAATGCCTGACCCGGTCCTGGAGGACCAGTCTGGGGCGGGGGGAGCCCACGCCGCCCTTCGCTTCAGGTGGGTGGGGGAGGGGCACGCGCCCCAGGAGGGCTCCGGAGGGCGCGGCCGAGGGCACCCGGTGCGCGCGCCGCCCCCGGGGTCCCGCAGCCCCCCCCGCCGGCCGCCCCCCCTCCGCCTTACCTTGGTGGACGGCCACGCTGCACGCGTGCCCATCGCAGTAGACCAGCGGGTTTTCGGCCCAGCCCCTCTCGTCCGAACATACGCAGCAGCCTCCTACCATCTCCTTCATACTCCCATGAGCTCCCTCCGGGGCTGGGGCTGGGGGCCGGCCGGCGGGGGTCGGGGGTCAGGGGGGGAGGGAGGGAGCGGGGGCCGCGCGCCTCCTCGCCCCCTCCTCCGCCGCCGCCGCCGCTTCTTTTCTTTGCCTCCTCCTTCCTCCTCCTCGGCGTCCTCCTCCTCGCTCGCTCTGTCTGGCCGCCCCCCCCGCCGTGCTCTCGCCCTCATGCCCCGACGGGCCCCCCCCCTCAACAATGAGACTCGCGCGCCGCGCTCCTCTTCCGCGCCGTTCGCTGGCTACCAGGGCCGCCCGGCCACCGTGCAACCCGGGCCCGGCGGGGGAGGCGCGGAGTGGCACATCGCGGGCGCTCGCCCGCCCCGCGCCGCCCGCTCACGCGCCGCCCCCCCGGCCCCCCTGCCCGGCCGCGGCAGCCATGGCCGCGCGCCTCCGCTCGCTCGCTCGCTCCCGGCCCGCCCGCCGCCGGGTAAAGTCTTAGGTTCAGGGAACAAAGCCTGGCTTGGTAGGGAGCTTTTCGCTCGTGCGCTCCGTGCAGCTTTTCCGTTTTTTCTTTTCCCTCTTATTACTCTAGGTGGGTAGTTCCCGAGCCCTCCCCTCTGCAGGCTCTCGGTGTCACATTTTGGGTCTCCGATCACCCGCCCCCAGCCCCGCTTCTTTGAGTGTGTTCTTCAACCCTAAGAAATTAAGGGGAGATTTAAAAAAAAAAAAAAAAGGACTCTAAAAGGAATTGGGCGATGTGAACCATTTGCCTGTGCTTGGTGCTCGTTCTTGGAGGCGCGGAGGAATTTCTTTGGATGGCATTCATGGGCGCTGTCCCTGGAAGCCACTCTGGAGGGTAAACAATGTCACCTGTAAACTTTTACTTGCCCTCCAAATAATGGTTTTGTTTTCTTGAGACGGTCTCCAGTAGCTCTGGCTCGCCTCGAACGCACGAACTCGCCGCGTAGGCAAGGATGACCTTGAACTCGGTAGCCTCAACTAGCGGGGCTCCAGTTTAAAGGCGTGAACCACCACGCCAGCAGAGATATTTGTTGAACTCTGGCGTCTCCTGGCCGCCAAAGGAGATATCCCTGGCCTCCGGGAGCTTCTCTTTGAAGTCATTACTTTCTAGGTCTCTAGACACTTTTGGGGTACACCGAAGTACCACCGCTTCTTCCTAGCCCCACCACCTAATTTCTCAAAGACTAACTCCACCTCCAGCATCAAGGCGTGCGCAAAGATCTAACGCGAGTGAAGAAATCGCTACCTTGGAGGCCCCAGCAAACAGAATTACGCCTGACTTCTGGGCACTCACACAAACACAATAGCGCTCACAACCACTAGACGGAGGATTAAAGTCCCCGAAATTGGGTCTGGGGTTTGGAGGAGGGCAACCCAAGACTCCCCCCCCCCCCCACCATACCAATATAGGCCCAAAGACAAGATCTGATCCCCCTTTTTTTCTTGACAAGGAGGAGACGGCACTCTCACTGGGACCAAAGGTCAAATACCCCCTCAGCGGGAGATTGGGTGGCCGAGGGGAGACGGCAGCCCTGGGGGCTTCATCCACACTTCAAAGACCTCTAGGCCGGGGACGCTTCCTGGGGGGGAGGGGCAGAAGGATCGGAGAGGAGGAGGAGGCGGGCTGGGGGATTGAGGGTGGAGGGGGCCGCTCCCCCTTCACCGCACTGCCCCCCTGGCCGACTCTTCCGCCGGGTCCGCCTCCTTTTCACTAGCACCTGTTCAACCGGAACATCAAGGGGCCAGGGCCCGCAGCTCCCCCCTCCGCGTCTCTTTAGTACCTTTCATCCCGGAAGGGGGGGGGTGAATCCCCGCCCAGGAGGGGGGAGCAGGGCGGGGGAGAACTTGTCCTTGACCTGGTCTGTGGCGTCAGGGATTTACTCCCTTAATCCTGGCGAGGCGGGAGTTTGGGGAGGTCTGTGTAGCTGAGTTCTGGACTGCAACCCCCAAAGCCGCTCTTTGGACCCTGGGAACCCCGAATGCTGCCTGGTCGAAGAGACTGTCTAGAGAAGTGAGTCTGAGGTAGTCCATTTTGTGGCTTCTGAATCTGCACACGTCGAGGGCCGAGATCTCGCCTGTTTTTACTCAGATTGTGAACTTCGCTCATGCGAAAAGTTAAGACTCAGAGGAGAAACCTTACTTGAAGTTTCTAGCCAGCTACGTCTACTAAGAATAGAACTGCAGGAAAACCGCGAAAATGTCTGCCCTACCTTTGCAACAGTTCCAAAATATCGGAGTATTTATCTCTGGAACCCTTACTGTCAAGTGCTCACGGTTATGGGTTTCGCCGCACAAGGGTCACTTTGCGACCCCTTGGTTCCTTTACCCAGGAATTGGTAACTCGAGGACAGGGAACAGAATGCCTGTCTTGAGTTAAGCTCGTGTCCAACATGTCCCCAAAGCTTTCAGGATGAACGTTTGACGCACATTTAGCGTTTTAGGTATAGTTTGGTTTAATTCTCCCCAACTTATTTAATGTAAAGTGGGTGGAAACGTCCTCCGTTTTACGGATGGAGTGACTGCGACAGGCTAAATAATTTGCTCAGAGGCGCATAGCCTCGAAAGCAAGAGCCAAGGTTTGAAGAGAGTCTTGTCTTCTCGTTAGGGCTCGGCTACCGTGACTCCAGCCTGTGGGGAGCTGAGCTGCCCGCCTCGCCCCCACACGCTCTATTGTAAGGGTCCTGGGGAACCCTCTGCAGGCTGGGCTGGGTTCGCGGAGCTGTCAGACTTGTTCTCCAACTTCCAACCTTTTCCTGAGCGTCCACTTTGTGCATATCCACAAAAAGCAAGCAGGAGCAGGTCTCGACCAACAAGACCAACAAGTGGTTCAAGTTCATAGTGCTCTCCGTAGTATGACTTATCACTGATTTGAAGTGTCACGCATATTCTGGGCGCACAGCTTTCAACTCTTGGGCTCAGCGGGTCCCTCCATAAGTGGGGCGTTACCCTGAGGCGTGAACCGAGAATACCTTCGTGAAGACCAGATACACACAGTAGGCGCTCAATCCCTGCCCTTCCTCTCTCTACACCCGCCGGCGAAGCGCGCTAGAGCAGGCGGCGCGTCCCACTCCCGCCTCCAGCATCTCCGCCCGCCTTGCACGTCCCGCCGCAAAGGGACTAGGGCAGAGAGGGCGAAACAGAAAATTATTTCCGCCCTCTCGGCCCGCCCCGCCCCGCCCCGCCCGTCCCCGGAGCCAGAAGGGGATTGTGGGGCCGCCTTGGCCGCCGCCGGAGCCGAGCGGGGCGGAAGCGCGCGCCGTGCTGCTGCTCGGGCCCGACCGCGCCGGCCCCCGCACCTCCCGGCTCAGGCTGCGGGCTGCGGTCGGGGAGGTCCTGGGCCCAGGCGCCTGCCGCGGAGCGCGCTTCCGCGAAGTCTGGCTCGCTGGTTCCCGGAACAGAGCGGGAGAGGCAGAAGAGTGGCGGTTTCGGTTTTTGCCCTACGATTGCTTTCGTCGGTCCCCGGGGCTGGGGTTGCGACCTTTCCTCTGGGCTAGTAGACAGACATGGGCTGGAAGAACGGACTACGCGGGTGCCCACGGGCGGGCTTGCTTTTCCTTTACGCCTCCTTTGGGAACTGTTTTCAGCCCTCAAAGCAAAGCTGCTGACCTTGGGGCGCGTTTGGAGAGGTTAAATGCCTTTCTGGAGGTAACCCAGCCAGTGAGGAAGAGCTTGCCAGTGATCGGGTAGACCAAGCTGGCATGAGGTAGAGAGAAGGCGGGCGAGGAGAAGGGTGCCTTCCAGTTGGTGTCAGTTGCCTCCTCCAGCCCAGCCATTTACTGGCTGTGACTGGTTAGAACACCAAAACTGGAACCTTCAGCTTCTCCAAAATACTGTACCCTCCCAAGGGTTGAAAGGAGCAAGTTGCCTATTGCTTATGAGGGTGCGAGGAACGGTGTTTTCCCATCAAAGGTTATATGACTGTCCGCGACCTAGCTAGTGGGGGTAGGGAGATGAGCCAGCAAGTTCCTTCCTAAAACGCAAGTGTTGTGCTAGATGCTGGAGGCCCGTCTCAAGAGGAACCGTGGGAGTCGGGGGACTTTCCCATGCCTTGGGCTGTCCAGAGTCTTCGCTGTTGCAGTGGCCCTGAACTTGTGCTTTTCACACATTTTCGCAGGAAGACACAGCCCTGAAGGTTCATAAGCAATTAGATGCAAATAGCTTTAGTTGGCCAAACTGAGGTGGAGAGAATTAGACCCCCTTCTCCAGCCTGCGATCCTAGCAGGTGCTTTAAGAACCCAGTGAGCCTCAGTAGGACCGTGGCCACATCAGGGCAGCAGCGACTTCCTCTAGGGAGTTAAGGTGGGTAGGTGGGTAGGAAGGGGGGAAGTTCTGGGGGGGCGTTAAGAGTCATCAGCTAAAGAGTTTCTTGGAAGCTAGTCCCAGCCTCCCTTCTTAGCCCCTAGTATAGCCTTGTGCACAGCAGTTACCATTGACAGTTGGTTGGGTGGTTTCATGTTGGAAGTCCCCTTGGAGTTAACACTGTGGGTTGGTGACTTTCCAGCCTGGGGGTGACTCATGAGAAGCCTACTAGGCTCCTCTGTGCTACCCCAGACCTTTCTGAACTCTCTGTTCATCATCTTATAGTTACCGACAGGACAGAGCTGAGAAAGTTGAGCAGATAATTTCAGTGAATCCTGGGCTGGCAGAGGGAACTACATAGATAACACCTGACAGCAATAGAGGGAAGTCACGTCTTCCAGATGGTCTGCAGTGGGAGTGGACTACAGTGTTTATGAGGTCAGAGAAGGCCTGAGCTGGGGCCCAGGGGATGAGCAAGGGTTCATAGGCAGATAGGGGCTGAAGAGATTCCAGGCAAGAACCCAGCACGCTCAGAGTTACAGAGACAGGAGCCCCCACACCAGTGTGCTGAAGTTGTGTTTTGTGGCAACCTCATCTCTGCCAGTGTAGCCGGAGAGAGGACGGAGGAGTTGGCAACAGATGGATGATGGGGCCTTGAGTATCTAGTCAGAATGGGTTTAAGCCTAGGGCTTAAGGACAGCACTTGGGGTTCGTAAGGAAATACATGCAAATAGTTTTGGTTTGCAAAACGGTAAATGCAGGTAATTAGGTCACCCTTCTAATGGTGCAATCCAGGAATCCAACCCAGAGCTGGCCCTTTTAGATAAGATGTGGTTGGCCACGTGTGCTCACTGTTTCCCTCAGATACTGCTTAGGGTTGGGTGGAGGCTAGAAGTCGGGAGGTAGCTGTGACAGTATTCTCAATCTTAGACTCTGTGTGAACTCCTGGTTTTTTTTTTTATTTAAATGCAGTTTTGTTTTTATTTTTTTGAAAACCAAAGATACAGGGTTTCTCTGTAGCCTTGGCTGTCCTGGAACTCACTCTGTAAACCAGGTTGGCCTCGAACTCACAGATCTCCTGCCTCTGCCTCCCAAGTGCTGGGGTTAAAGGCATGTGTCACCACTGTCCAGCCTCAAATGTAAATTTTTGTAA